GTTTCTCTCTGCAAGCGCAACAACAACAACTCAGTCTTGTCGAATAAGTTCTGTCGGAGAAGAGAACAAGTCATTCGCCAGCTCATCTGTGACCGATCACAAACACTCCGCTCCAATCCTCGCCACCCTTGCTCGCAATGCTTTTCTTGGCGTCGTCCGGGTGCGTCAGTTTCACTGCCAACTTGCCATCACCAACCGGCAGCCACAAATTCGCGGAGTTTACAGCTGCGACACCTTGTCCAACAGCCACATTCAGGAACTGAGTGAACTGCTTACCTCCTTTACTTGTAGAAATCTCGTAGTAGCCGCGCTGGAACTCACCTTCTCCAGTCGTAGTGACAAACACGTACACGAGAACTTCTTTAGCTGTACTCGGGACTTGGCCTCCCACTTTCAGATCATAGGATTCCACTTTATCTGGGAACTCGGGCAAAGTACCCAATAAAACGTTCATGGGCTCGTACTCAGCTGACATGGTTTTACTTTGAATGAAGGGGCGACGCGCTTCCAATAACCTCTCCTCCGTCGGTTACGAGATAAGTTTGAGAAAGACAACGTGTCAAGTGCTCTTATATAACCGAAAATTGTGTAACCAAGCCGCGATGCTTGCACCCAATGAAATTACGCGTCTGGGGTGGTGTGATATTTAATTATTGATGTTGAAGAAGATTTCAAAGGTCGTGAACCTTTCGCAAGTCTATTCTTGCAACGCGCAGATTACTGATTATTATGCAAGAGGTAAACATTTTTGGCACGCACACTGACTAAGAAAACACGTAAAACTTTTTAGAATAGCTCTCCAATTATCCAATTCATTCTAAACTAGCACAAGTGGGGAAAGAGTTCGCTGAAATTAAGTTCTATCCATAGGTCAAACTTTGAAGGAAAACAGCAGTCTCTGCATAATTAGTCATGCTTTAAGGCGCTGTTGCATAATGCTGCACACACTCGGGGTTACACAATGAGGTTACCTGGAGACCTTTCAAAGCGCTGAATTTATTTTTGTGACTTGTTTTCTTCTGTGTAATCCGTGTATACTTTAATCCGGAGCACTGTACCCAAGCTTGAAGAAAAACAATTTACATTTGTATAGGTGTGATTGTGTGGTGTTATTTTGCAATTTTAAAAACTTTCAAAATATTACGAGTGCATGTTAAGTAGCACTAGTCCAGCAGTCTTTCAATGTGTTATATTCGACAAAATAACGAAGAATTTGCGGTCGTCGCCACCTTTGTTTCGTTTGCGTGTCCTCTCGACGATTTTTTTATGCATTATGGCTGCGTTTCAACTTGTAAATAACTATTTAGATGGCATGTATCTGCATATCAAAGAAAAACCCCATCAAGTTTTTTAAAACTTAATTGCCCACTCAACAAAGAGACACAAAGGTCCTCCACTGGCTGGGGATTAAATATTGTACTGCTTCAGATCAACTGAGAACGGAGCTCTTTTTGTTGTTGGTTAGAATTTTCTAAAAGGATGCCATTGCGAAACCTGTTGGAAGGTGAAATATTTCCAAAAAGAAAAATAATGGCTGTATGAATGTCTTGCAACATCCCGCGATAAACAATCTAGACGAGGGTGTCACAGATATCAGAGGCTACTTGGCCAGCTCCCTCTATTTATAGCGCTGGATTAGTACAGCCGTCACGTCCGATAAACCCTCGGGCAAAACAAGTTGGCCTATGGGGGCGTCGCCGCTTACGTATTGCATGCACAGTATTTTCAGAGGACGATAATTAACAATTATTGGACGAGCTTGAACAAAATATCGAGACTTGTCAGTGGCGAGCAGATCAATTATTTGCCGAAGGCGAAGGCCGAGGCAAATAATTGATCTGCGAGACACTGACAAAAGACGATATTTTTGCGATAACCGAGTTCAATAATTGTTTTATCATTTGATCTCTGACAGCTCAGGGAAGCGATCTGCCAGTTTTCACACACGAGATCGAGGGTTACACAAACGCAGAATATTATTTGAGGTAAAATGGGTAGTTATTTGCAGGTCACGTGGCGGACTCTCCGGCAGTGAAAAGGAAGAAAATATTTGCATCAAATGATCATGATGATAATGAGAGTTATGCAAACCATGACAGTAACAGCAGAAAATGACGTTAAACTTTGAGTTTAATGAGTCGCACAGTGGCTATGTAATGTATATTATACAGATGCGTACAGTTAATTTAAACTATCCTCGTAAAAAGTTCAACGTCAAATGACTTTGTGCCTCCTTCTCGAGTCCGGTCTCGTTACCTTCGGGGAAGGAGTGCAGACTATTTTCAAAAACAGCGGCTGTTTTTCTGTTAACCGTTACAACACAGTCTTTCTTGCCTTCTCTTGAAGCGAAGCGCCAGTAGTTGGCGTTATATTCATGATCTTGCCCTTTGCAACACGCGGCCCAAGGCGTTTAATAGGATTGTAAATGTGGTGTATCAAGGCAGAGGAAGGTTAAGAAACACCGGCCCGTCATTCAAGTGAGTTCCGAATGAAAAACAGTTTCCTCCTCCACCCAGAACAATGATGCTTTGCGAATCTTTCCAGCAGACACTGCGGTGATTATGAAGCATCAAAGGCATGGAAGGTTCTGTGTACGCCTTGAAGGAAAAAAGAGAACAACAATAAAAAGAAAAAACAAACAAAACCAAAAACAGAAC